TATCTGCTGCTCTACAGTACAGCTCAGACTGCAGGAAGTGTGTTTCTGTCAGACATCACCCTATTAGTGCACATCATGACATCATTTCCTGTGTTTGTGCTGAGGGAACATGAAACTGCAGCTCTTGATGTTCAGAGCAGAAACTCAGCTTAGAGGAGAAGCAGCTTGAGATGAAGTGAAGCTGGAGGAGGAAGTGAAGGAGCCGGATAATGACAGCAGTACTCTATAATAACACTCACTGAAGAGCACAAACTATGCATCTGTGTTCATTTACTTTATTTTTTTACTTCACTTTAATTTTATTACTTTAATTCAATTTAATTTAATTTAATTTAGTTTGTTGTCATGTAATATATTAGAATTGAAGGTCCATTTTTATATTAAGTGTCCCTAACTACTATGTACTTACATCAAAAAATAACTACAATGTACTTACTTTGTTTATAATGTATTTGAGAACACTTGTAGTGCTTTTGAGTTGGGATAGAGGTTGGGTTATGAACAGGTTTGGTGGTATGGGTAGGTTTAAAGGTAGGTTAAGGTGTAAGGGATGGTCAACAGTGTATTTACAAATGTAATTACAAAAGTTAATTACAGATGTAATTACATACATGTATTTAATCAAGCATAAGTACAAAGTAAATACATGTATTTACACAATAAGAACATTGTAACAAACTATTAATTCTCATGTAAGTACATATTAGTTAAGGCCACTTAATATAAAGTGGGACCGAATTAAATATTGTTTTACAAATTATTCTAATTTGTTATATTATATTGTATTATATAATATTATGTTAAATTGTATTATTCATTCATTTTTCATTGGTTTAGTCCCTTATTTATCAGGGGTCACCACAGTCTAATGAACCGCCAACTATTCCAGCTTATGTTTTACACAGTTGATGCTCTTCTGTGCCACCTTTAATTAAACTTGACTTGACTTGACTTAAGTTGACTTGACTTGACTTAACTTGACGACTTTACTAAAGTTGACTTTACTTTACTTAAGTTAACTTTACTTTACTTGACAACATTACTTAAGTTGACTTGACTTGACTTAACTTGACGACTTTACTAAAGTTGACTTTACTTAAGTTAACTTTACTTGACAACATTACTTAAGTTGACTTGACTTGACTTAACTTGACGACTTTACTAAAGTTGACTTTACTTTACTTAAGTTAACTTTACTTTTGACAACATTACTTAAGTTGACTTGACTTTACTTTACTCAGCTTAAGTTTACTTTACTTTAGTTAACTTGACTTGACCTGACTTTACTTGACAACTTTACTTAAGTTGACTTGACATGACTTTACTTAAGTTAACTACTTTAATTAGATTAAGTTAACTTTCCTTTACTTAAGTTAACTTTACTTGACTTTACTTAAGTTAACTTTACTTAATTTGATTTGACATGACTTTACTTTACTACTTTACTTAAGTTAACATGACTTGACTTTATTTGACAAATTTACTTAAGTTGACTTGATTGGACTTGACAACTTTACTTAAATTGACTTGACTTTACTTAAGTTTACTTTACTTAAGTTAACTTTACTTAAGTTAACTTTACTTTACCTTACTTTACTTAAATTTACTTTACTTCAGTTTACTTTACTTAAGTTAACTTGACTTGACTTTACTTGACTGCTTTACTTAAGTTGACTTGACATGACTTTACTTAAGTTGACTTGATTGGACTTGACAACTTTACTTGACAACTTTACTTAAATTGACTTGACTTGACTTTACTTAAGTTAACTTTACATTTAATTTTACTTGACTTTACTTAAGTTAACTTTACATTTAATTTTACTTGACTTTACTTAAGTTAACTTTACATTTAATTTTACGTGACTTGACTTTACTTAAGTTGACTTGATTGGACTTGACAACTTTACTTGACAACTTTACTTAAATTGACTTGACTTGACTTTACTTAAGTTAACTTTACATTTAATTTTACTTGACTTTACTTAAGTTAACTTTACATTTAATTTTACTTGACTTTACTTAAGTTAACTTTACATTTAATTTTACGTGACTTGACTTTACTTAAGTTAACTTTACAACTTACATCAATCAAAGTGACAAAAATATTAAATTAACTTAAAAAAAATGTTGAAACCTATTAAAATAAGGCAAAGCAACATTGCAAGTATTTGTTGTCTTGACTACTGTCATTACTTTTTTATAGTGTATGTAATTTTAAAATGATGTCATAAACTAACAACAAACTGTCATAAATGTGTTTATATAATATTTAAATAAATGAATAAACTATAAATGCATATTAATGTAGTATTAATTGTGTTAATTGCATTGCATAATTGAATAAAATAGAAATATATATATATATATATTCATTCATTTTCTTTTGGTTTAGTCCCTTATTTAATAGACGTTGCCTCAGAGGAATGAACTGCCCACTATTCTAACATATGTTTTACATAGTGGATGCCCTTCCAGCTGCAACTCAGTACTGTGAAACACCCATACACACTCATACACACTCATTCTCACACACACTCATACACTACAGCCAATATAATTCATCAATTCCCCTATAGCGCATGTGTTTGGACTGTAGGGGAAACTGGAGCACCTGGAGGAAACCCACGCTAATACGGGGAGAACATGCAAACTCCACACAGAAATGCCAACTGACCCAACCAGGACTCAAACCATTGACCTTTTTGCTGTGAGGTGATTGTGTTACCCACTGAGCCACCATGCCACCATATATATAATCATTTAATCTTATTAAGTCAATTGACACCATCTTATTGTCAAAAACTAAACCCTAACATGCCTAATTTACCTAATAATATTAGTCAAGCCTTTCAACGCCACTTTAAGCTGAATACTAGTGTCTTGAAGAATATCTAGTCTGATGTTATGTGTTGTCATCATGGCAAATAGAAAATAAATCAGACATTAGAGATGAGTTATTAAAACTATGTTTAGAAATGTGTTGAACAAAAGTCTCAGTTAAACAGCACTGAAAGTATTAATTTCACACGATGGTGACTGACATTGTGTTCAGCTGTATATATAAACACAGAGGTGTGATGATATATGTGTGTGTTTATATATAGATATATAAAAGTGTGTGTGTGTGTGTGTGTGTATGTGATGTGTGTCCTGTTTCTGATTCTTGTGCGCTGCTGTTTTTCTCAGTAACTTCCTCCTTCCGCTCTTTGTGTGTGTGTTTGTGTGTTTTCTGTTCCTCCTCCAGTGCTGATTTCCTGTATTTGCACTCATGTGTTCAGAATGAAAGGCTCACTGTGTGTTTGTAGAGTTCACTGAAACTGACCTATGAATGTCAGATAATTCTGCACTTATTCCTGATTCCTCGCCGGTGCTTTAAATGCACCTTTGTTGCTGTTTGCAGAACCAGAGCTCAACGTTAGGAAGTGAAAGAGGTTTTGTAGTCATGCTGCAGGCCACAGAAACACCTTACACTGCTCACCCTATTGTAAAGGGAATAGGTTTCAAAAGGGTTATTATAGGATAACATGGCATCAAATTAAGTGTTATGATGGACAACTGTGTTCAAGATGAGCAAATGTTTATGACAGATGTTGAGATTACATTAAATGACACATTACTATTTTTTTTAAACAAACCGGCCACTTTATTAGGTACACCTTTCTAGTACCAGTTTGGACCCTATTTTGCCTTCAGAACTGCCTTAATCCTTCATGGCAGAGATTCAACAAGCTACTGGAAATATTCCTCTGAGATTTTGCTCCATATCGACATGATAGCATCACGCAGTTGCTGTAGATTTAAGGACTGCACGTCCATGATGCCAATCTCCCGTTCCACCGCATCCCAAAAGCTGCTCTATTGGATTGAGATCTGGTAATTGTGGAGGCCATTTGAGTACAGTGAACTCATTGTCATGTTCAAGAAACCAGTCTGAGATGATTGAGCTTTATGACATGGTGCGTTATCCTGCTAGAAGTAGCCATCAGAAGATGGAGACACTGTGCTCATAAAGGGATGGACATGGTCAGCAGCAATACTCAGGTAGGCTGTGGCGTTGATGC